CCAAATCACCTTTCCCTGCCCTTTCCTCGGTATGAGTTAATCTGCTGGGACAACCAGAACTGTAACTGTACAGTAGACAGTCACCCATGAGAGTCCTCACAGCTCCTCGGAGAATGCCGTCAGCCTTTGCGTTTCTGCCAAGAACCCTCACTTCGTACTGCATGGCTTCTGTTTACCCTTTTCATGGCCAAGTTTCTTCAGCAGCTCATGACCACTTTGCCATTAACTAGTGCCCCAAGGCCTTTTTCCTCCTCTATCTGTCAAGGACTACCGAGATCACAGCCATAGCACACGTTCTTACCATACATCCCAAATGTGTGACACTGGATTAAAGCTGGATTTCATTCCTTCTTTGCCACTCTGGTACTCACAGTCCTAAGGTTCCTCCTGATGATTTTTTCAAGCCTCCTCCATGCTGGGATGCCCTTCCTGCTCTGTCACTTTGTCAAGTGTTGTTAGCAGAGTCCTTTTGTTCTAAAACTGTTTGCAAAAATTTTCTGTTGAGTCCATAAAAGCAAAGAGATGACTATCCTGGGCCATGGCCATGGTCCATCCAGTTCCTTCACCTACCTGTGCCAGTGGTAAGAGCTCAGGGACTTCTTTTGCCAGAGATTGTTTCCGTGCATCTAAGAGGTCTTGATACATTTCTCTCTTTCTCTCTCTGTGAGTTTGTCTAATGGCTTTTAGAGCTCAAGCAGCAAGTTGTTTTATTAAAATTACTAGATATTACATAGTAGACCTGAGTTTTAAATGAATGATTCCTGTCTTGGAAAGAGGTGCAAGACCTAGAGATGCAGGTAAAATCAGAGGCTTAAAAGCACCTGTGGGGGCCACATTCCTCAAGAATTTCTCCTCAGCTAACCCCACAAGTGCCTCTCCTGAGGAGACATCCTACATTGTTGGTGTTTCGTTGAATAGTCTTGGCTATAATAGGATGTGAAAACTATCTTGAAGATTTTTAGCTAGGAAGAGCTGACCTGCCATGGTTGTTCAGTTCCAGGAAAGGATTTCCAGTGGCGATGCTATTGGGTTTTCCTCCAGCCCAGAGTCAGACATCTTACATTTGTTGGCTCCTTGCTGAGCCGGCTGGCTCATTCCTGCATTCTTTGTTGATCACCTGCCTCTCACTATACCAGGAGCCTTGGGGCTGGGTGCCCAGCACCTACAATTTAGGCATTGCAAAATCACATCTCTGCATCCATTTAGCCCTGAGGCTTTTATCTTTGTGGTGAATTATTAACCAAGTCAGGGACATGAAAACCATCTACACAAGGAGATGCTGCATTTTCTTTGGAAGTTGTCCACATATGGAAAGTACTGCTCACCTAGCCTGGTAGATCTCCTCCTATGCTCACCTTCCAATAGGCATGCGAGAACATTGTTCATTCCACAATACCTTCCTCACAGTGAGGATTGTTTTCATGTCTCCTCTCAATGACCTCTTCCTGAGATGAAGACAATCCATATCCCTTCAGCCTGCGCTTTTTAAACATCTTAACATTTTTTGCTCTTTGCTGCTAATTTCCCTGTAGCTTTTCTTCAAGCGTAGTGTCCAAAAGAGGACACTGTACTTAGGCTAAGCCTCACCAGTGCCAAGTAGAGCAGAATAATTACTTCAGTATTTTACCCAAAACACTGCTGCTAATATATCCCCAAATTACATTTGTTTTTTCTGCATAGGTTTTATCCCGCTTTACCTAGTGCATGCTTCACAACAGCCAGTCTATCCGTTCCTGCACTATTGCCGCCTTACCAGTTATTCTTCATTTCACAAATCACACATTTGATCTGTCTTTTGTGACAAGACTGCATTTTGTACTTGGCTTTATTACAGTGCAGCTTATTGATTTCAGGCAAGCTCTCCAATCTGTGAAGATCAATGTGAGTCCTGATCCTGTTCTCCAAATCAAGCTCTCCCAGCCAGTGCTCTCAGGAATTGAATTACATACTCTCTTTTCCAGTAGCCTTGTTCAAAACATCGGGGCCACAACAGATGCCTGCAGGACCCCACTTGGCACGTCCAGCTTTGACAGTGAACCGCGGATGAGTGCTTGGGTATGATTCAAACATTATGTGCTCATTCTAATCCCAATTTCATTCAGATCTCATGACACGGTTTTGTTTATACGAAGAGTAAGGCTTTTGACACTAACAAAGTCGACAGACATCACATCTGTCTCTTTATACACTTGCCTAGTTAGTCCTTCAAATAAGGACACTGAATTAATTTGAAGTGGTATGTTCTTGATTAATTCATGTTGATATGTTCTACTGCCTTATCACTTCTGTGCTTACAAATTGATTAATAATTGACTCTCATTATCATGGTTATGCTGATGGATTTATACTTCCCAGGATCCTCTTCTTTGCTCTTTTTTGGGCTTGTAAACACATGCCTCTGGCATCAGTGTCCTCAAACAAGTCACTTACGATGTGAGTCATCATTGCCTCTAACTTCAGGCAGTCAAAAGCTGGACACCAGGAGAGGGATTCAGTTCCTTACATGCAGGAGTATGACACACATGGTCTAGTATCATGTTAAGTACGATACAGTATGCAAGACATTTCTTGGGGCTCACAGATATGACACAGGATCCATAGGAGACCTGCACCCTTCTGGAGGCTTCACCCATGCAGGCTTCCATGTGGGATACCAGAGAGCATCTAGAATGGGACAGGGCATCTATATCCATGTTAAAGTAACTGCACCCCAGAGTATAAAGTGTTCATTAATAGTCAAGGGGAAAAGATGGGCGCAACAAACCACCCTCAGGAGGGAACTTTCATAAGATGGAGTGTGCTGGCTTTAAGATGGCATCTGCTGGCCTTTGAAGATGCCATTCCCGTTTCACTGGCAATAGAAGGAACCAAAAAATTTTAGCTTCAAGTTACAGGACTAATATTTAGGCAGATACATGTTTTTCAAGGCATTTTGACATTTAAATGGTCCAAATGCCTAGCAAGAGTTTTGAAGGACCTAAGTGCCTCGCTCCCAGACTGGCCCATGCTGATTTTCAGCACTACTGAAGAAACCCAACACAGGAAGCTAATACACTCCAAAGCTTCCCGAAATCTGGAGAGCCCTCTTTATGTGCTTATAGCTCTCTAACAATTACCAAGAGAACCTGCACTGACTACATCTTAGCTTGGGTGATTTTGTTGATTGAGAGGAATTCAGGGTTTTATAACTCAGCCCTATCTATTAAGTGCAGAAAATAGCCTTTCACTCACTCTCTGGCATTGTGAGGATAACCACATGAAAGCTTCCAGGACACTCTGATCTGTGGTAACAGAGCCACACGCACCCAAGACAGAAGGTTTTCATGCACCATGTAGTACAGATTGCATTACTGGAAATTCACCTGAGCTGCCCACAGCCCTGACCTGTGTTAAGACCTTCCTCCAGAGCTACAGACAGGACACGTGGCAGGACATGTCTAATGCAACAACAAATGCAGTTAATTAAGAAAACATCAAAGATCACATCAGATGACAACTGCTTTTTTGTTACTGAAACACTCAAGACCTCTTCTGGACATAGCGAGTTGCAAGGGTACATGAGCACTGTAAATCCACTACACATATGCACTCACGCCCATCTGATGTACAAGACCTTTATGAGCAATTATAACTGAATGAATGAATGATATATAGCACTGGTGAGGAAGGGGTAGCTGGAGAAAGCAGCTTGTCTCTCATCTGTGCCTTTATTTGCAAGCTGTCAGAAATTTGTAAGAATAACTCCACTGCCAGTAGCTTATGGGCTGTTTGATTTAATCCATGTCTCTATCATCTTCCCCATCAACAGAGCCCACAAGGAGTTATCATGAAATAGTTCAGATCCAAATGAGCTGCTGCAGTTTCTCGCCCTAGCATGAGGACTGCACCCGAATTACCCTAGGCCACCTGTCCCCGCTCACCACTGCAATGTACAGTAGAGGGATTTAGCCCTGATTTGTAATCTTTTGTCTGCAGCCTTGTTGTTTGGGTGGGGCTGCACCTGTTGGTGGTGAGTGGAAATCCCTTAATTACGGCTGTGGGGCTGGGCAGCGAGAGCTGGCCCTGTGCGCTGGCACACAAAGGCTTCAGGGAACGCGTGTGAATTCAGTGCCCTCTTTATGCCATGCCAACGTTCATCGCAAATCCTCTGCAGGTCTTCACGGCTCAGCTCCTGCATTCCCAGGGCTTCTGCCTGGTACTTCACACACTGGATTGTCCTTTCTTTAGAGGGCAGAGATGCTGCCTCCCTATATTTTGGATTCTTGGGGTTTGCAATTGTTTAGGAATAGCAGTTGAGGGACAATAATACATTATAAGGTGTAATTTTGGCTACAGCATCACCAGTTCTTTCCTGTTGTCAAACGCAAATTAAGTTTACTTGGTGAGCATACCGCCTTTGTTTTGAAGTGTAATGTTAGTAATGACAGTTTGAGCCGTAAAGACACTCAGGTTATACACTGCTCAGAGATGATGCGACACCCATCTCTTCCCTTGCTAATCTCAGTCACCTGCTGAAGCCCCTGTCCATGCCACCTCGCTTCAGTGAGGGCCTCACTCCCCCCTCCCCCTGCCCCAGACTCCCCTCTGCCCTTGACACCTAATCTGGTGCCCGGAGCTGCCATCTTTTGCATCCTCTTCTCCCTCCCTCCCCAACTCCCTCTCTCCCCAAGCTTCACCTCTCTTCAACTCAGCTCTTGTCTCTCACCAAAATGCCGGCAGAGAAGACACAGACAAGAACGGCTGGCCTCCACCTTTTAACTCCAGAGGCCTACGCCGCAGAGACCTCTCAAGACTACAAATAAATTCCTCACGGCAAAAGCCGTCCAGGCGGCTTGAGCCCTGAGGGCCCGGCGTCTGGGCTCTGCCGCCATCTTGTGACGCCCAGCGGAACGGCGCTGAGCGGGAATGGCCCTGTGATGGCGCTCCCGCCTCCCGCCCAGCTCCGGGGCTAGGGGGGTTTGGCGGGCACGAAGGCCCCGAGCACCCCCGGGCCTTCGTGTTCACCAACCCCCCTCCCCGCCCCCGGAGCTGGGCCGGCAGAAGCCGGGCCGTTTGGGTGAGCCTTTATGGGTTGTGCGACTTGCTGTGGGCAGTGGCTTGAGGGTTTCTGGCTGTGAACATGTCCGGTGGATGTTCTTCAGCCCACATTGGTTCAGTGTGAAGGCCGAAGCTGGTGCCCCCTTCATCTCACTGCGCAGCACCCGTACACCCCTCTCCTCCCCTTGCTCCTTGGCAGTGTGGAGATGAGGACCCGGCATCCATCCCTTCTTTGAACCTGGTGTAATAGCCGTGAGGATAACTAGGGTTGAGAGCCAGCTGTTGTTGAGTTTATACGACAAATGAGAGGTTCAGATGTAAGATTGATAGCAATTAGATCGCCACCTGCTATCGCTTTAATCTGTATCCCGGATTTTTAATTGTTAAGGGGGGGGTGCTGTTGGCACATGAATACATAAGGACTATCTTAAAAGGCACCAAGCATTAGGAGTGCATCCCAGTCATCACAAGCAGCGCTGCCCATTTTTCAGTTTTAGCCTCTACTGTGAATTTTGGTCCCATTTTTGATCAGTTTCATCCTGAGCTTTCTAGGCTATACTTCCCTCCATGACTTTATTTATTTATTTATTTTAGCAACTGCAGGCAATTTCATTTTAGGCTTGGACAGCTCTTTTCAGCTTGGCTTCCTGACAAACCTGCTGTCAAGTGGCCTGCATCCATTTGCATTGTGTTCGATTTTCAGCAGGTCCCTATCTAAGGCCTGTTCCTCCTGGTTGTTACCCAGGTGAGCAGTCCTACTGCAGTCAGAGTGATAATAGCTGTCAGTAATTGGTACTTCCACAGGTTTGTAAGGTCAGGGCTTGCTTCTTCCCCCTCTTTGGATAGCGCTAATCTGCTTTCAAGTCACACTTCATCAGAAAAAGAGAATGCCAAGAATTTTGAAAGGTTTGCTATCAGGTTCCACAAAGGGATATGCTTGGGAGAAACACGTTGGTTTTGTTGGAGAGACACACGAAACAGACTATGATTTGCATAAGGAGCTACTGAGAGGAGGGAGCTGAATGAGAGGTCAAGGGAAGGGTTTTCATTGACTTCAAAGAGTATTGGATCAGATCCATGTGGAGCATCTGCAACTTCCTTTGATGCACCAGCAAACTGGAGGTAACAAGCCTCTCTTCTTTGTACATGCGCTACCTAAGGCATTATGTGGAGAAAGACTTTGAGACGGGCAATGGCACAAGCCAGTCGCAGAAGAGAAAGTAGGTCCGCGTAATCTAATTGGGAGAAGCTGTTTTTTCTAGGTGATGCTAAGGTTGCAGCAGGTCTGAAAGAAAACGTACCCTAGAGGTCGCTGCAGAGCAGCCATCGAAGCCGCTCTGTGTTCTGAGGGGAAATTGTCAAAATATTCTAGAATACTAAAGTAGATATTTTTTTTAAATGTATTTTGAAACAATTCTGAATAGTCCCTGTCCATCCCTCTCCAAAACCACCCAACCATATGCCATACCTCCACAGAGCAGGATCCCAAAAGTGTACCCCATTACCTTTCTCAGATGGAATGTCACCTCCTTCATGCTGCACCCTCCAGCTCACTTTCCCATATACTCCCTATACCACACCTCATCTTGTGAGGTCTTCCTGCTGCGGAGAAGCCCAACCCCGTCATTCTGTCTGCATCGTATCTTCCCAGCACCCACAAGCTGCCCCCCACCATGGTACCAACAAATAGTCTCATTTGTCCTTCTCCAGCCAGAAGGACGGTTCTGATGGCAGACAGGTCCCTGCAGCCACTGCTGTGGTTGCCACAGGCTGGGAAATCATCACAAGCACAGCTGGACACTTGCGATCAGCTGTAGTTATCTGTGGAGAGGTGCTTAATGGGCTTAGTTAAATACCATGGCATGGGCAGAGTGGAGGAGTTTTACCATGTCTCTTTGGAGCAGTTCATCTGCTATCTCCATTTTAGGCAATGCTTTTTTTGTTGGCAATTTCACCTTATTCTTGAGGCAGGTGTAGAGCAAGAAGGTGAAATCTTGCAGAAAAGAAGATAAATTGGCACAGGGGTAACAGAAATAAAAATAGCAACAGGACCGAAATAATAAGCCATCATAAGCATTTCTACAGCCCTTTTCATCTGTGGATGTCAAACAATTTGCAAGAGCTGAAAAAATTAAGTGTCTCAGCAGTGCTCATATGTCAGAGATACGCAGTTTCTTTCACCTATTGCTTAACTGCTGTCACCCCTGAATTAGTACAGTGAAGCTGTTCATCGCTTAAGGCAACGATGCCTTGCGATTTAGGGTGTGAGAGGCTAACTCAAACTGTAAGACAAGGCAGCATTTAGAGTCTAGAGTTGGCCAGGCCACTGCCTTACAAAAAGAGCCATGGATCTTTAACACCAAGTGGTCAGGCCCTCAGTTTGACGTCTCAGCTGATAAAACAGGAAAGGTGAAAGCAGGGGCAGAACCAATCTTTTAACAGCTGGCTATAGGAGAAGACAAATTTGTAAACTGAAAGAGGGACAAAGGAACAACATTTACCCCCCGCTTTTAATAGAGATTCATTCATAAAAGTAAAGCGAAGGCTACAAGGTCATAGAAAGTTACATGTGATCCGGTTTTGGAAAATGCCCTTCTTACAGACCAAGCCCAGAGGCAGAGGCTGTTTGGGCTATTGCCAAGGAGAAGTGTCATGGAGGCCCTTTTCTTCCTTCTCTGTGGGCCTAAGGAAACTCCAGCTAGGCATATTGTACATGACAAGGTTTAATGACCTGTGTTCATAATGGACCCAAGAGTGAATACCCAAGTGCATTCAGGAGAGGCCCAGGACTAAGAAGTAATGTAAAGCCTGAAATAGGGAGGGAACATTTTCTGGATTGGGAATAGGGTCATTCTTGGGGCAGTGAATGTGTGAGGGTTCATTTTGCACCTGGTATTCTGATTAACAGTGCGGTCAATCTCTTGAACTTCCCAAGCATGAACACCTGCTTCTAGCTCTGCTCAGATCCTAGCCCTTCCTGAAGCTTCCTCCTTCAGTAATCCAAGAAAATGCATAGGTATCTCATGGCTCTGCCAGAGGTGTTCCTAATAGACTGTCACACCAGGGAGGACTGATCTCAGCTCCCCATTCCTGAGAGCTCATAGTCAGCTCTTTAGCTGCCACCCTCTACACGCTTTCAGTCCACCAGCTGCGTTTCATCCTTCAGTGCTGACTCCTGGAAAGGAAAACACGAATTCTTGTCATCTCTCTCTGACTCCAGCACCTGCCTCTGTGTTGCTTTTGCCTCTTTCCTAACAGTTGTGTGAAATACTTTGCTCTCCTTTCCTGTTCCTTCCTCCTATTGGAAAATGTATGGATCCACCTTCTGATCTTCCAAAAATGACACCTGATCAAAGATGACCTGGCTGTGGCCCACATTTCTACATCCTGTACATTAGTAGTGTGGCAGGGCAGCACAATCTTTGCTTCCAGAACTAAGCAGGCTACTCAAGCATCCTTGATGACTTTTTAATTTTCTTTTTCCTGATTTCTGCAGCAGCTCCTCTGTCCCTGACAAGTTTTTCTGGAAGTCACTTTGTAAATGTTGTCAAACTGTGTGCGCAAAGGAGGCGAGCTGGATGAGCAGAGACGATGCCTGCTCTGCCAGCCTCCCCCAGAGCTCACAGTCGCCTCCAGCATGTGCAGGTAGCTGCTGACTCAGACGTGGGTGCAGGATTGCGTGTTTGATCATCTCTCTGGCAGCAAAGGAAGGGGACTCAGTGTATGGAACTAGAAAGGTTCAGGCACAAGGTGAGGGTGAGTGCAGTCAAGAAAGCCAGAGCCTAGGGGATATTACAAAGGGACTTCTGAGGAGGAGGGAGGAAGGATACCACAGAGCAAAGGAAAAAAAAAAAAACCCACCAAAACCCAAACAAATAAAAGAGAAGACAGTAAAAGGCAGTGCAATAATGGGCATGAATTTCTCTTTCTTCTGCCCCATGGCAAGCTGCCAACCCCTTCCACACACATTCCTCAGCGTTACTAAAACCAGCCCCCATGGACACACCTGCCTTGGGACAAATTCTTTTAGTCTTGAAAAAATCTGGGCACTTCTTCAATAAAGAGCTTTGCTTTTAAACTGCTTTGCCTTTGTGAATTTTGGCAGCAGCTCACACTTGGAGAGCCTTTGAGAACCCTTTCTGTAATCAGATTTCCCTGCCCTGCCCCGAGGGACTGTGGGTGAGTCACTTACCACAGCTGTCCCTCAGCTTCCTATTCTGTGACAAGTGGCTCACCACTACCTCAAAGGGCTGGGGCTAGGCATCATTTGTGTGTAAAGAGCTGTGAAATCCATGAGGTTGGTGGGGTGCTGAGCGTTACACAACGTGCTGTGAGGGTAGTGTTAGTCTTTGCTGGGGTATAGCAGGAGGTGGGACAGGCACAGGGGTATGGTTTAAAACACTTCACTGCCCAGTGCAAAAAGTCATTTAGTGATGAATGTTCAGTTGTGTGGCGACAGGACTCATTTCTTCTACACAGTAGGGCCAAGGTCGAAGAGCAGAAGACACAAACATGCTTGAGAGAACTATCTGGATCCTTACCATCTTGTTCAAAACCAGAAAAAAAAGCAAAACCCAAACCGAAACATTTTAATTTCCTTCTCCTGCAGGCTGCCTCCTGAGCCGCCTCATACTGGAGGTGTTCTGGGGTGGCAAAATCCTATTTTTGCTCCGAGAAAAGTCTCTCTTCTTCTCTTGTTCTGACCAGAATCAGACTAGGTTGTCAACAAGCTTAAAAGAGAATCCAAATGATTTGCAGCGTGGTGCAACAGAAAAGAGCATCACTACAGTTCTGTGGACACCTGGCTAAAATAATGGGCATTATGACTTCTGGTGAAAGGAGCGTGAAGCTGCTAGTAATATAAGAGTAACCTCCTCCTTCTTTCCTATCTTCTCTCTGTGCTCACAAAAAAGCCATGCTGCCTCCCAAGCAAAGAAGTTACTGTTAGCAAGCTGCCTTGCGTCATCTCTGCCTGAAGCTGTCTGGGAACACAAAGAACATCGGTTCATTTTAGATTGCATGGCAATACGCAGCAGAGCCAAGGAATGCAGCACCCTAATTCTTAACCAAGCCCCTACCACCTTTACTCTGAGAAAGAGGTCAAGCGTTGCTCTTACGTGCCAAAGTTGCCCTCGCTGGCTTAGCTTTGGTTTTAATACCATAGCTGGAAAACCAGGTTAATTTTACCTCCTCTTTTTCAATAATTCACCCCTCCCAAACAACCAAGCACCAAAACAAGATTTAGACAAAGCAGGGTCTGAAGATCTGGATGCGGTTAGGAGCCATGCAGAGTCTAATTCTAGCTTGGCTGCAAATTTAATTTGTAGTCTGGAGCAAGTCAATTAAATTTTTCTCGTCAAGTCTTCCCTCAGTAAAATTGAGAATAATTACTTGCCTTGTAGAGATGCTGCTAAGACTAAGAAAGTCTTTAAATAGTTTATTTAAGATATTAAAATCTCTTAAGAATTATGTAGAAACCTCAGTTAGGGTTTATAAAAAGGTTATTTAAAACCACAATGGGATAAAAAATATAATCATTGAAACTAATTAATGAAATAACAATATTGAAAACCTTCTCAGATGTGAAGGATGGAGCATAGGTCTGCAGCTGCCTGGCAGAGTATATTCATCTCAGAGAAGCAACTGCTCTTTATTCGCTATGGTGGAACAAAGTCAGTGCAGCTACACGAGGAAATTCTGGTGATACTCTAATAGCATCTTCCATTATTATTGGTCTTTGTTATTCATGATCTTATAATGCTTTGGTCCTTTATCTGGGATCTGTCCTGGTATGGTTGGTACCACAGACACAGAAGATAATGAAGTTCCCTGCCCTAAAGAGCTTAGGGTCAGAGGTCCTGAATGTCCAGCAGTTTACATCACACGAGGATGAGACCACAAATATTAACAGCTCTGTTTACAGAAGTAAAATTAGTTTGTGTAAATGCCTCATCATGTGAGATAAGTTCAGATACCCCCTGGCAGATGCACGAAGCGCAAGGTAACAGTGGCATCATTATGGCTGGTGTAACTGTGAGCAACACCAACTGCTTATGTGTCCTTTATGTGCACACCGAGAGATGCGACTTTCAGGGAGGAGGCCAGGAAGAGGCAGAGTGACAAAGTGGCCTTGTGAAGTCTCAGATGGATCTCCTCTTTGGTTTTGTCATCCCAAGATAAAGCATGATGGTATTTGAAGAAAACTTGACCTTACATTTTCAAAGGCAGATGTTACTGTCAGAGCACAGGCCAGTACCATCAGCGTATCTGAGACAAAACGCAAGGTGGGACCAACCTGTGATAGACCTTAAAATTGAAAAATAGAAGTTTGAGCTGATATATAGAGAATAAAAAGCCAGCAGAGGGATTGGTAAAACCAAAGACACAGACAGCTTGCAGTATTATACATGCAGATCTTGGCACGTCCTCAAATTGTTAACCTAAGAATAGTAATGCTCAGCTCAAGAGATAATTAACTTGTACCCAAATGAACATGGCCCTTCTCACCCATCTTGCACTGTAAGACAAACAATAGAAAACAAGGCTGTCAAATAAGCCATTTTATAAAGGACTGCTGAGGAGTAACCCATTTGATCCATATATTTTTTAACAAGTGATAATGTAATTAAAAGGTGGATCAGTTAAGAAACTTCTGCCTTATCCCCACCACTACTTGAGACTGCTGTGCAACCAGTTCCAGCCACTGATCAGCAGAGAATGTAAGAGAGAGTCAGACATTGCCCAAAAAAGCATCAGAAAGGCTAATTCAAGAAGTTCATACCCATTTCCTCCACTCATTCCTCCCTTACCTACACTCCTTTCTTTTCCCCTGCTCAGTCCTGCACCGTTCATTTGTATGTCTGTGTTTTAATAGAATAGGTGCAGACTGCCCGCAATGGGGAGGGCTGGAAATGATAAGAGGGCTTCTGTTGGTTTTGGGGTTTATTCCAAATTGATTACTGGCCATGCTTGCAAAGCCAAATTATTTCCCCTGTTCTGTCACTGATATATACAGATGGGTACATACAGACATCTAAACGCTTTCAGATTTACAGTGAAGTGTAAGGGGCAGGATATTCAAATACCTCTCAGTACAGATACTCCAAACTGTAGGATACACAGCCACACTGAAAGGTGATGTGCCATTACGCTGATTTTACACACGTGATGAAAGCCAAACCTTTCTCTTTCCCCTATTTTCATTTGAATAAGTAGAACCAGGTTGCTTATCTCAGTGTCTGGTTTCTCTGGGGCAGTAGAGTTGTGCTTGATGCTGTTTGCTTGGTGACATATCAGTGTAGTGCAGGTCAGGTGCTGTCTTTGAAGATAAGGGTCTGTTCGTATGATTACGTGTCTGTAATTAACACTGCACAAGCTAAACTGGGGACTTTAAGGACTCTTTCCTCAGGTCATCCTGCTGTATGAAGGAGGAGGCACCAGCTGCTGCTTAGCCCAAACGTCCGCTTGCATACAAGGATGGTTATAGGTGTGAAATAAGTGCGCTCTCTGCTCAGGCAAGCTTCCTCTGTCAGTAACAGCTACTAACTTGCCAGTTGGTCTCCATCAACCTTGTACATCCAAGGTACTCCACTGAGTGCGGTTCGCACACAAGTCTGTGTGTGGATACTTGTTTTGCCAGCTCCATGGTCTATTTTGTTTGTACAGCATTCGGTCTCATCTCTAGAAGGTGTCATGTGAGACCTGGTATCTGTGGGGACAGGCAAGAAACAGGTATTTTGCCAGTTCTCTGCCAACTTTCTGTCATTTGCAGAAACAAGGAGCATTTCAATTTGGTGTCCCAGCCAAAAGTCCCTGTACTCAGGCAGGTGCTGACTTCCCCACCGGCACCTGGCTGAGCACAGGAGTCCAGCTGGGGACACCCTCTAGTCATGCTTCTTTCTGAGACAACCCGCTCCTGATGGGAAAAGTGAGGAGAGGGAAGAGGGCTGCCTGACCAAAGAATGCCTATAAGGGTCAAACTCCCTTTCTGGTAGCTGTGCAATAGATTTTAAGAAAAAAAAAAATGCCACTGGTGAATGAAAGTGTATCGGGATGGGGGGACGTGAATTCAGAGCATGTGAGGATGGTGATTTCTGTACAACCCATAAAGACTCTTGGGAGAAGAGACCTGAGCAGGCCAGGCACGTGCATCCTGGTCAGAGCAGGCAGGCAATAGCAATAGGTGATGCCAGGGCGTCTCTGCGCGGCAGGGCACGGTGCAGCACAGGCAGCAAGTGGCGTGCTGTTGCCGTGAACAGACGCCTCTGATGACAGTGTGACCATCACCATCTATGACACTACATAAACCCAGTGGCAGCGCGTGTCTGCTTCATTCATGCTGCTTCACACCTCTGGTGGCCTTTGTGCTGTTCTGGTTTAGGTTGGCTGTAGCGATCACTGTCTTCATATGATGTTTTTAAAAGTTATGAAATTGTAGAGTTCTCCTAGAATTGTAGAAAGTACAGGAGAATGAAAAACTGCAGAGCTCCAAGACAGAAGGAGCAAAAGTAAAATCAGTGCAATAGAGGTCCATTTTCTGAAGACATTAAACAATTTTAAGACCACACTAGTAAATGAACACACCCTTTTTATTACTGAGGCAACCGAAGTGGGGAGAATGGAAACAGCCTGTTATAGGTAAAGCCAAATGAGGTGTTGCCTAGTAACTCTCAGCAGGGAAGCATTTAAACCCAGCCAGTTTAGTGAGGCTGATGTTCTGACTCAGAGATTATTTTCTTTGGAAAAAAAATCTGAAAGCAGGAAAGCTCAGTTTAACAAACATACAATTTATTTTCCTGTTACAGCAAACTGTGGTGACAATGCTTGGGAGAATGCAGAAGTATTTATGAACTGTACAAAGAAGAACAGAGAAGACATGCTTTCAACAAAAGCATCGTTTTACTGAACATGTTTTTTGATGCTGATTTTTTCTCTCCAAATACAGTAAATTTCACATTAATTTTTATTTTCAGGTTCTGAAATACACAAGTGATAACAGAAGTCCAGAGATATTGCACAGATCATTATAATATTATTGTATTATTTCTGTAAGAGGAAGTTCCTGGAGCAAGCCTTACTTCAGCTTTGCTATTGGACACAGAATCAAAGTCATTGATTTCAAAGAAGAAAAACTTCATGTCTCCACTGGTTCTGTTGTCTGGGATAGTTTTAATTAGGTCCTCCTTCAGGACGTTGCTTTTATGGGTTCATGGAAGAGTCACTTGTCTTGGCTAAAGGTGTCTCACATCACGGGTAAAAAACCCACCCTCAAACCTTATTTGGAAATTCATATTATTCTTGCTTCCGTTTAGAAGGATATGATGATTTTACAGAAGTAAAAGCTCTGGCATGATCAGCCATGTACATCTGTATCCCTCGGTGCCACAACTACTGTTCAGCACAGGCAAAGTCAGGTTCAGGAGAGCACTTAATTTCAGCAGGCTCAATACAGTTAATGCTGATAGTTATGAATGTGAACTATTGCATAGATTTTTTTAAAATTAAAAAAAAAATGCAATAAACAGATCAACACTTACGTCATGCTAACCATGAAGAGGCAGACTGCCAGAGAGTTACCACAAAAATACGTATTTTAGCAACACTGATAATAGCTGGAAAGCAAAGCTGCAATGGCAGAAGTACAAAAATTTAAGTTCTATACTAGAAGTGTGAGAGTTTTTCACAAGCCTGTTGTATGAGCAGTGAAAGCATGTTCTGTAAGCCAGAGATCCACTTCTCACTGACCAGAGCCTGGCCTGAAGTTTAATGAAACACTGTTGATACAGAACCTCTTCCCAGAAGGTGTGGGACCATCCTCAAACACATGGCCTAGATGGGCATCACACTGCAACGGAAATTACGTACCATTAATACCATGGCAATTATGGTCCAACGTTATGCTGGCACCTACTATGCTATTCTGAATTAAGAAACTTGTATGATGAATTCACTGTTGAGTTATGTGGGTGGGGGAGTCTTGGGGAGAGACTAGAAATACATCCTGGAGTAATCACCTCTGGCCAGTTGGCGAATACTTGCCCCAAAACAAGCAGATCCTAGAAGAGGAAGTCAAAAGGTACTAATGCCAGAAAGTACAGGAAACAAATGGGAGGATCTGGACATCTCAATATATAATGAAAATTTCAAGTTAATTGAGACAATCAGTGTAGGTCCTTCTCACAGGTCAACTGAGGATTTCCCCCCAAAATTACTAATGGGAAAAAATTAGACTCAGAATAGCTATTACTGGCTGGATATTACTGCAAGCGTGAACTCTGCCATGATAGTGGACTGCAGTGAATGCTTGTTACATTTGGAGATGATACCTAACCCTGCTAGAAGGGGCTGTGAGCACACTGGAGGACAGTATTAGCAATCTTAACAGTTTGGAAAAACAGACACACACACATACACAAACCCAAGATGCAATTCATTAAGCTCCATTGCGTACTTTTATGCCTTAACAAAAGCAATAAACAGCACAGATTTAGGGTTGGGGTGGCAGTTCTTTAGAAAAGGACCTGGGTATTACAGCAGGTCCCAAAACAAGTATGGGTCATGGGCTGTGGCAAGGGAAGGTGTAAGGACAGGAACACTAATGCACCTAAACAGCCTCTAATCTCTGGTGCAGGCTAGGCCCAGCTGCAGCGCTATGTCCAGCTTTGCACTGTACTTCAAGAACAAAAAGGATCAACTGGAAAGAGGGCAAAATAGAGCAGCAAGACGATCAGAGATCTAAAACCCACCACGTAAAAAGGAATGGTTGAAGGAACTGGCCCTTTCCAGTCTAGAAGAGGGAGTCAAAATAGCTACCCAAAATAGAAGGGTGGCTTCTGTGAAATAAGAGAACCCACAGAAGGTAGCTGTGAAGATGCGGGGCACCCCCACTGCCATGCAGGGCAAGTAGTGATGAGCTTCAGCTGCTGCAAAGCAAAGTTAAGTGTTTCCCCCAGTGTCTAATCTAGAGTAGGAAGACATGAAGGTTACAACTCACTACCTAGTAAGGCTGTGGAGTCTCCATCAGTGCATATTTTAAGAACAGCAAACATTTAGCAGGGCCGAATTAGGAAGAACCGCCCCTGTGATGGGGCAAATGCATGGACTAAATCTCAGAGTCCCTTTCACTGTCTGTTGTCCTGAGGTCCTGTGAATACATTTTATGTCTAAACTCCAGCCCTTGGCTATACTTACACAACTGCTTTCCCCAGTCACTTAATTTTCTTCATCCCAAACCGCCTATATTTGATACTTCAAACTGTACTCATGTGTTTCATGCCAAGAAGTGAGACAGAATGGTTCCAGTCACACTGTAACTCTCACCGTAAACTCTATGTTTGGTAGATGCATTCATGAGCACAAAAAAACCTTATTTGTTAAGACTTGGGTCTTTCGATATCACCTCCAAAATAAACACACCTGTTTGCAGACAACTTCAGTTCTAGTTGATCCCAATGAGTTATCTGGTCGTTCTATGATGTTGGTATTGCTTTCATCTCTGCCACAAGTACCATAAGCCTCGGAAAATGACGGCCATCCAGTCCCAGAATTGTACTTCTTTTCTGAGCTATAGTGGAAACCAGATCTTCTTGTTAATTAATAACAGAGATGTTACAAAAAAGTCTGGTTTTAATAAGAACATTGGCTTTTTTTCCTCATCCCTGTCTTGTACTACTATTAATAATATTTGGCACAGTAGAAGTTTTCCCTCTGGCATCAAACTATGCTGGAAGCTATTTACCAAAGGGAATTCTGGATCAGCCCACAACAGGAGCTTTTGCCTCACTATTTCTATTTCACTATCAGGTTGGCATCTTATAAAGCTTGAAAAAAGGTTTTTCCAACAGCTGGCCACATTGTTTAGCTGAATTATACCTGCAAAGGCGCAGTTTGAAGTCTGGCCCAATACAGCACAACCTCAGAGCAGAGGGTTTACAAGAAGAAATGAAGTATGGAAAACGGCTGGGTTGGCCCACTGGACCAGGCTCATGTCCAATGATGGCTTTGGCTCGCACTCAGACATCAAACCAGCTTGGCAAATCAAACGGAGCCTTGCTCAAACCATCAATCAAGCCATGACAAACCCCCACAGCATAGATCTACTTTTCCCTAGAGATAATCACAGCTGTCAGAAACAGCACTAGAGGCTGTCAACTCCTGGGTGCCTCCTGTTAACATCCAGGATTACCAGCCCTGTTTAGTTGCATATTAAAACCTAGAACATATTGGAAAAGATGATCAGAAAAATATTTTGGGGATTTAGCATAGAGAAGTGAGATAATGCCTCCTGTTTAAAGTTGTGCAGCATTTGACAGGAAAAAGTACTTTCTCCGAGTGAAGAGTGATATGGTGCGAGTTAGAGTGAGAAATGAAGACAGACTTATATACTCCTAGGATAAGTGGTCTGGAGACCCACCACAACTGTTTCCTCCCGATTTCCCATGTTTTATCCCAGTTTCACAAACCCAATGCTCTTACTGGCATCTAGTGGTGGATGGAGACACCAACACCACCAGCAGCTCTTCTGTGATCAAGGGGATTAGTCTATTAGTCGATGCTGAGTTTAAAGCAAAAGATCTAGTATATATCATGTATATTTTGGTGGGATATCAATACAGTGAAGAAAAATCTGAAAATCTTCCTTGCAGTGCCTTTTAGAAAGACAAGACAAACAAGCTGGGCAAAAACCTTAAAAAAAATCCAACCCAGAGAACCATGCATGCTTCATCACGTGTTTTATAATTAACTGTACAGGGCTGTCTTTGAGCAATGCAACCGTGGAAATAAAAGCGGATTTGCAAACACAGAATGACCGAAGACTTGTTTTTTTGCAGGCTATTGCTCAGTCCTTTTTACATCAATCCACGAAGAGCCATGACAAATGCTCTCCTACCTCCTCCCCTCCATAAGACTGGGGAGAAATAGGACACAGCACAGAAGCAGGCTGCACCGAAGCACATGCAGTTTTATAGACTCTGTGTTTGCCCAAGAAGGTATTTAGGGCTCCCTGCCTTCCCTGCTGCAAAACCACATGAACACCGTGCCTACCAGCCAGAGAGTCCCAAAGAGTAACCTGGGGGAACGCAAATGTCTGTACACGACTTCTGAGTTTCCCTGACATATACCTATGCTGTTTCTTTTTTATTTTCAAAAGATTTCAATCAGAACTCTTCATTTGTTGACACAGGGGTCCTTCTGCTTATTTGTACGTAAATACCAGGATCCTCTCTGAAACCCTGTAGAGTCATGGAAGGTCTTCAGTGCTATGTGGGTTTTGTATCTGACCCTGACTGACTTGGTCCCTTACATGCCGCTCACAATACTTAAGTTTATTGTAGATGTTTTCCACTGCTAAAGGATCAATCTTCTGAGCTGTTAAATTAGCTCTCAACAGAAATGGTCTCTGTGTGGTTTCACTAACAGTAATATCACTTAGATTCCCTAATAGAAACATTTTAGTACCCCAAAATATTGCTGTTCAAGATCATATTTGTCCTTTGAAGTATTTCACCACTTAATTTATGGATAAATGGACTTTCCCTAAACATATGCATTAGATTAGCCTTCGACACACCATTCCTCCAGCATATGTCATTTACTTTGATCCCTGTTTCAGTCCTCCTGGATGGAATCCAGATAATTCTAAAAAGTGCTTTTTGCTGTATGAATCTCAGCTGTAGGTTTATGGTTCGCTGAAGGTTTGAGATTTCCTTAAAGGACCACAAGTTGCTATCTCTAAAGGTTACGGGATTGTTCCCTCTATTTCCGACTCTTTCAAATGAATATTTGGTAGCAGAAGGTAATAAATTTTGGTATAAATGTATACACACATGTATACTTTGAAAGAAAGGACGGAATGCTTCACGTTTACCTGTAGCTAATGATCTAATGCATTTGAAAAATAAAGGACATTTTTAATGCAGTAGGGAATAAACATGCTGAATGAATCTCTTCTCAAATACCATTTTTTCCTCATTGTTAGTGTCCTTCACAACATAGCGCATTCATGGAAAGTACATTTTCAGACCACTTTGCACATTTAATAATTTTCAATTTTCTTAGAGGTTTTTTTTCTATAAGCTTTTTTAAAAAATTATTTATTTCCCTGTATCAGTCTGTAAGGCTCAGCATTATTTTATGCTTTAAACAAAAGTACCTATATTCTCTGAGAGATACTGCAAAAAGCAGCACGACTATTTGGTTATACTGTTGTTTTGTTACTAGTTTAGCAGCAGATGCAATTCCTTTCCAGTGATCGTCTCTCTTCATGTTGGCCTGTGAACATCTATTGTGTAATATAGAGGATGCCTAAACTGAGGGAACATTTGAAGAAATTGAAGGAACTCTTCCACAGCTCAGTAATTTAAAATTCCTCTAATTTAACTGAATTTTCCAGAGATATTTTTAGGTTTTGTCTTCAGACTATTCTGCAATGCTGCACTATTCTGAAATAAATTTACTTAAAAGTGTTTGTTAGTAAACCTCTACAGAAAAAGACACATTTAAGCAAATGTTCATTTGCATGTAGTTTTCTGTACTTGGCCAAAGGAAAACAAACTGTTCACAATTATCAGCCTCCAATTTTACCATTTAATTGCTTAGTTTAGGTTTATTTTTAATACAGCTGTTACATTTCCCCCCTTTCTTACTATCCAGATCTCAGCTTCCCATTTGAAGTTCTGATCTGTGATACATCCTTTAAAGTCTTCATAAAAATGGGCATATCAGCCACATTCCATTGAACTCTCGGTTGGGAATAAATAAAGGCTATTTTCTGGATCAAATCTATGAGGAACTGTCTTTTCTGGTTCAGTTACAGAGAACAGAGCACCCTCAGCACATCCTACTCTGAGGCACTCTATTTCCTTTCACTTAGACTTTAATGAAGTTGCAAAGTATATAGTATTGTAAAGAGCACAGAGGTTAATAGCACAGTTGTTCACAGTTGGGTTTTAAAAAGTAGATGTAGCCAAAAAGGCAAAAATATTGGAATTTAATTTAGGGAACAAGAAGGGGGTGGGGATGAAGAGGATGTCTCAGCTCCAGTACAAGGGACCCAGCAGTAAGAACATAATGACAGCCAGACGAAGGCGGACCAAAGGTCTCTCTAGCCCAGCAGCATGAGTGGCAGAAGATGACCATGGAAGAGCACAAGAACAGAGCAAACACACAGTGCTACTCATGCATGAATACATGTCTTTTGTGGCAGCCTGTGGCTTAGGGACCTCTTAAACTGAGAATTATTATCAACCAAAAAGGACAGTGTGTGTGGCAGGAGAAAAAGGCAGAGCCTAATGCAGCAACTGCTGTCTGCTGGCCACTGGAGACCCTCATATGCTCAAGAAAAGGGCATACCATGTTCCTGTATCACCACAGGTATCCTGGAAATCTGATACATAGCACTCTGGCACCAAAGGATTGTTCTTCTGACTTCCACTTTCCATTCCTCTCATGAAAAGACACTGCCCGTCCTGCCGGAGTTGGGACATTTTAAGGATGCTAACAACTAAAGGACGTTACCTGAACAGTGGGGTGTTGCAGCATACGCAGTAGTATATTCCCGACTCTGTGTTATTCACATAGATCCCACTAAATGGCTTTTAAAAAAGGAAGAAAAAAAGAGAAGTTAATAACACAGGTCTTTAAAAGCTCACCATCTGGAACAAGCATGTAGGAATCAGATTAAGAACAGGAGAAAAACCATAAAAAGAAGGCTTCACAGGGGGGCTTTGAAGAACAAACATTAGCAGCCTAAAGAAATGAAGGGGAGGATGCCTTTGGATTAACAGTGAAGACTACCCCCTGCCCCCAGAAACTTCGGGACCAGTCAGATGCATAAATCATCCAGGTAGCAGGGCCAGAGTCATGACCTCCAAGGAACTTGTGAAATGTGCAGGATCCCAAAGATCAGGGCTCTGCTATGGAGTGCCACAACTTCAAAGTTGAGGACTCTCCGCCCTGCAGGGTCTGGAATTGGGATCCTTATTTTGCAGATAAGGATTCGGGCATGGTTCACATGATTTAATCCCACAGTACATGCTCCGCGAGCGCAGAAGCCCTGGCTCTGGGCCAGGTACGCCGGCGCTCCACCCACAGTGCTGTGTGGCCTCTATCACAGAAGGAAGCAAGGTGTGGGGACCAGGTGAGCGGGTGATCTGGCAGACGAGGGATAGCCCAGCTCCCAAATGGATTGCTATGTATAAGATTTTCATGGCTAATCTACATATGGTCAAAAAAAGGAGACTACAGGACAAAAACCTGACCTTCTTCCTCCCCTCTGGAGAAGCCTCTACTACTGCTGCGCTGGCAGTAAAGTATCCCAGGAAAAAAAAAAAAAGAAAGAAAAGAAAAGAATGCAGACTATTTTTTCATCTGCAAACCAGTCTGGGTCAGAACAAAATCCACCTGGTTCTGTATGTTCAGCCTAACTTGCACCCATAGGGAGGCAGGGGAAAACCTGTGAAGCAACCGAGCAGTGATGGGTCCCCAGTGCAGGTTTTTCTCTGCCTGGCAGGCAGAGGAGGTGGCTTAACCTTGGACAGTGTTGGCGCTTTTCCTTACCGGTTCTGTTCCTTTTTCTCTTGTAACATAGAATTGCTCGGGAGTCAATTTTTTTTTCCAGTCTGTAGCAACAGCTGCTTCATCTTGTTTAGTCAGAGAGCCTGTGTCTTCAATTAGATACAGAAAGATAATTTGTATTATTTTTAACACGATTTTAACTTAGACTCTGCTGATGCTTTCCATCATCACCTGAATTCTCCCAGAGTTTCCATGGGTACAGACAGAGCACAGGAGGGCAGTTCAGGTACATAAGAGCAGGTGTGAGTGCAGGACTTTGCATCTGCTTCCCATTCCGTGTGGTACCTACGGAGAGCAGCTCCAGCACACCCCTCGGGAGGGCTCTGAATGGAAACAGGCACCTACAACCCAAGGTGCAGCCCTATGTTCTCTCTTGGGATACCTGCTGGTCTGCTGGTGCTTCTTCCTCACCCCTAGGTATCCCTGAAAGGTTTGACGGTTTGCCTCTTGGAAACCCTCAGAAACGAGAACTACTGCTCATTTATGGGCTATTAAAGACTAGCGACTTCCCAGGCCTCAGTGAAAAGCAGTGCTGAGAAGGACTGCTGGAAGAAAGCAACACTGACAGCCCAAGAGAAATGAGGCCATAGTTAAGTGAGTGGCAAAAACCAGGAGTGCAGAAGTCACCCATCATGGTGCCAACCTCCAGCAACACCTCCTGCAGAACATTTATGGTGGTATGGGATTGGCAAAGCATTAATAGGTTGGCTGAAAAACAATGAGTAAAACAGTTTCATTCCTTCCTAATCAAAAAGTCTGAGGTGGGGAACTACCTCCACCCTTATCTCCCATCAGCATAGGATCCTTGAAAAAAAATCAGCTCCTGAGTGAGGAACGCTTGCCTGGACTCATCTCTTGCAATGCTGAGGTGATACTGGGGGAAGAAAAAAGAAATTTGAAATTTACAGTTTATAACAACCACAGTTTAGCCTGCCAGCTCAAGAGAAATCCCTACAGCAGGCTGCCTTAGCCCTTTCCAACCGGCTGGAGGACACGGGGGCAGGGATGCCCCCCCCTTGCAGGGCGGCTCCTGCCCTTTCCCCCCACGCTCCGGGCAGAGGGTACCTGTGCCACCGCGGGCGCGGCCGGAGCTCCGCGGCGGGGAGTGGAGAAGGAGGAGGCGGCTCCCGAGCATCCCCCGGAGCAGACGAGCCGCCATATCGCCGGGGCGGGACCGGAGGAGACGTCTAATCCGGGCATTCAGCCTGAATAATTGCAGTTTATAAAAGCAATAAGTAAAGCACCCGCTTAAATACTGATGCAGCATTTGCAGGTAAAGGTTTCAATCACTTCTTACTGAGAGGCAAAAAGATCAGCTTAAAAATCGAACAATTGCTGCAGCTGTAAATAGGGCAAAATCCTGTTGAGGCAGTGGTTTGCAGCCATTACAGGGTGTTTTTAAGCAGAGAACAAGTCAGGTATTTTCATGCAAAAGTGCTCCTGCTCTCCTAAATGCATGTGAGAGGCATTGCTCTTAGTTGTATTGAGTAGTTGTGGCGGCGATGTGCTATCTAAGTGGCTACTTGTTTATGCGGTGTGATTTACAGTCACAGCTGCTTTGAGTCAGCCTATAAATACACCTGTAACAGGACACGTATTTTAGTTTGGCCTCCTGTCCTTAAAATTAAACTTAAACACAAGTCAGTTTGCCAGGTTAAGCCTTAATGCTGTTGTCTGCTTATTTTCCAGTAGCTACATTTCTGATTTGGAATTAGTTCAGCATTACTGAATGATGTGGAAGGCACTGTTTTGATTGCATTGGGTAACAAAACTAATAACGGTGTTAATACAAAATTACTTTCTGTTTAGTATAATTCTTCTAGCCTAGTTTTAAAGTCAAAGCTAAAAAATATTGTGTCATCAGTCCTGGGTATACACACCCTTATTGAACCGTCCTCATGAGTTCAATGGCAGGCGAGGACAACTGACACAGCGTTATGATCAGTACTGTGGCTGTAATCAAACCTCTGCTCAGATCCATGAAGCCGTGCACTGAAAGACGGATAGCAGTAAGGCTCGTAGATGATCGCATTCACTGTCTACAGCGGCAGGGGAGAGGGGGGCAAACAGCTGATTAATGGCTTTGTCCTATATAATAAGACACGGTGGAGTGAAGCCAGAGTACCTTGGTAAAAATCCTGGAGATGTGACACCTGTGAGTCCTCAGGACCATGATTCAGGATTGCAGGAGAGCAGCGCTGCTGGGCAGGGAGGAGAGGGCTTTGCCAGTGCTCTTGGCAGAGGGCAGCATCTGTGCTGTAGTCAGGACAGTATTTTCCTGTGTCCAGCCATTTTGGGAAGTGAAGATCAGCGAAAGATCTTTCCAAACCCCTTCTAGCTTACCCCATAGCATCTTGTATCAGTCACCTAGCCACAGTTTAGAAGGGAACTGGAACGTGTTAGGGAGCCTTTGATAAGGAGAGACCCAATTTGACACTCCCCCAGTTCTGGCAAATGGCTTAGAGCTGGAAAGTGGTGGCAGGTGATGGTGTTGCTCCCAGGGCTCACTGAAGCTTTCTCCGGCTCAACTGTGGAAAAGAAGCATTTCCCTCCCATTCCTGGCCTTGATCTCAGGCAGCGTTTGCTGCTGAGGAGGACAGGTAATCAATGGTGTTCTACCTGAAGTATCTGGGAAATGAAGGAGGGTGAGAGAAAGTGATTAGTCCTGAAACTTGCATGTTTTAATGTAATTGACATTGATTTAACTGGTGCTTTTTTTAAAGACAAAATTTTTTAAAGATAAAAAATGAACTGCCAATATCTTCCTTGCAGCTCTCTGTTTCTGGTGCTATCCCAAAATGCTGCAGTTTTGAGGCACCAAGAACTGAGCCTGCACTGGTCCGTTGCTGTGCCACCTTCCCAGGGCTCTGGAGGAGGGGAGCGGGTGCCTGGGCCGTGACCCAGGGAACAGCAGGAGCAGAAGGAGCAGAAGGCATTAGGCTCGTCAGCCCAAGCCTCATCATCCTCTCTGTTATCCAGTTTATCCAGCAAGCCGCTCCTTGATTTAAATAGGTGCAGTGGTGGAAGAGGCAGATCCCGTTCTTCCCAATGGCCATGATCCATGTTTCAGGTGGTGCACGGGCAGATCAGAGCCTCCATTTTTCCCTCCAACAGAAGCCTGCCATCCTCCGAACCGGCATGACAGGTCTTCCTCAAGCGGAAAACAACCCCCCCGGCTGGAGGTATTTAATTTTTCAGATCTTCAGTGCTGAAAAACCAAATCATTGTCCTGTCATGCCTGTAATATTGCCTCCCATGGTTACAGCACATACCAGGCTTCGTAGCTAGGCAGAGAACCGGCCTGCATTTCTCCCCATAGACTGTTATAAAAGCCAATTAGGCTGTTGCTTAATTTTCCTCCCTTTTTTCTCCCTTATGCACAAAGGGAAGCAGTTAAGTCTCCCCTAGCTACATTATGTAAATTTTTAAGTAAGTTCTCCCTGAATTGTAATTCAGTGGGTTTATTGTTAAAAATGTCACCTGACTCCAGCACATACACAAGCTGCATACAGGGAAGGGTCACTCAGCAGCAGCACAACATCTTACTAGATGGGTGTAGATGGGGGAGAAGCTCCTTGGCTCCTCCTGTAGCGTTTGCACCAAGTAGCCAGCAGCAGCAGCGTGTGTGTAGGTGGGTGAAGGCAAGAGTGGGAGGGAAGCGGTCACGGTCCAGACTATCCTGCTAATATTTATTCGGGCTCTAACCATTTCCCAGCCCAGGCTCTGTCTTGACTGACAGCTTTGGGCACAAGGACAGCATCACATAATGCCTACGCTGGCAGATACCGAGCAGTCAGCCAGGAAGCGGTGACGTGCAGAAATCAAATGAACCTTGTTCAAATGCAAACCTCTGCTTAAGCAGCTTCTGTTAATAAAGCCCCTTGACATTACTACGTATGGAAGAAAACACTGAAATAGCAGTATTTTTATTTTATATGCATTTGCATGCAATCAGTTTTCCTCCGCTCATTTTGTCATACCCAGTGTATGACCCCTCCTATGGGATGTTCCTGTTGAAACATGAGGGAGCTCAGCGTACAAGAATTTGACTCAGATCTGTCATATGTGGTGGTGCTGTGTGCCCAGGTCCCTGGAGAGTGAAGGAAAGGGGACTGGCATGAGCACTTTGGTGGGTAGATTGTATCTGTGGCAGGCTCTATTTTCCCCACAGAAACCCTCACTGCTTGTGTAGGAGGTGATCGCAGGACTCCTTCCTCAGCAGAGTCTTCCCTCTCCTCCAACAGAGTTGATACAACTCCACAGCTAGTTTCTAGTCGCTCAGATGTGATGAAACTCTGAGCCTCTGGTGTATGGAGATACTGTTTCCACATGGAAACACTGTCCAAAGATATGTGGTAATGCTGTGGTGCTGGATTCCAATGATGGAAAGGAATTTCAGCAAAAATTATTAGTTGCAGAAGTGCCAAAGCCTCTTGGAAAAGGGTATTGCTGGTTTCCAGAGGCACACAGAGACCAAACGCAGATCTGAACCTCCCTGAAGCTGACCCATGGATTCTGCTGAGATTCATTTGTGGAGTAGCCTGATGTGATTCAGGTCAAAGATACCATCAGAAATGAAGAACACAACTTCTTGCCTTGTTTCTTTATGGTTTAATATCTCTTTTTGCTAATCATAAGCTATAGGATACATAATTATTCTGACCTCTGTTTTCAGAAAAAAAGTAGTTTGTAACTGTGGACTAGCTTAAATGGGAGCCTTCTGCTGGAGTCTAAGGATGGGATTTGGATAGGATAGGATAGGATAGGATAGGATAGGATAGGATAGGATAGGATAGGATAGGATAGGGTAGGATAGTTCCAGTTGGAAGGGACCCACAGGTTTGGTCCACTGTGACAAATGCTTTGAGCTGGATTAGACAAAATGCCCTCCACAGGTCCTGTCCAGCACAAATTATTCTAGGATTCTAAATGCTTTGAGAAATTCATTGCAAAATGAGTGAAGACATGAATTCAAAGTGAAATGGATATTTTGCAATCACTCCTTGATAGAAAATTCTACTCTGCAGCTGGGCCACCTGTTCAGCTAAATTTCCTCCACTTTGAAAAGTTGTCACGCACTCTGGGGTGCAGTGAGTGTATCTGCAGGGGCGGCTGTTGGGAAGAAACAACTCCAAGCTGTCTCCCTGGATTGCCCCATCCGCCCCTATATCATAACATCCAAGTTCCATGAGCCACATAGACAATAATAATACATTCCCCAAACTTGTGTGTGATTTCTTATCCCTTGTACCTCAAGGTAGTGAAAAACTGGGATGGTTTTTCTTCCACCCAGTACACAAAGCCTGAACAAAGCATTGAATGCGCAGTTATTTGGCAGTAACCACCACAGCAGCAGCTTTCTGTAGGTTATCTTAATGGATTTATCACCCTGAACTAAGCCCTGACCATCTGTTCTATCCTCTAATTACAAATGCAGAAAAAGGTAATTCATGATTGCATCATAAAAAAGTAAAATATAAATGATTTAAGAGTGGGGTATGTCATGCTTCACACTCCGACTGGGGGAAATTGCTCTCCCTTCAATAGACTGACTTCCCTGGTAACAGAGTTTGTCTCGTTCCCAGCAAAGACGAATTCCAGAGGAGTGGGGCTTACCAGAACAGGTTTTATTCTCACTCATTCATCTTAGATGTATTTTTAAATTTTGGATTCACAAAAGTGCAGCTATGAACCTACTTTCCGTCTGTCTTAAATGAGCCCCAAAAGATTTCTTTTCAATGCATTTTCTAATCAGGGAAAGCACAAAATCATGCTCCTTAAAATTCTTCCCCAAACTCTGCATTTCCTCCAGCTCACTTTTGCTGTGATGCAGGAACGTCTGGCAGAGTCACCTACTGCCTTTGTGCTGGTAACTCTTCTTCACTGCAGTGCTCTTGGTTTAGAAGACAGGCAGAAAGCTGAGGGCTGGGTGTGCGCGTCCTGCTTCTTATGAACGACCTTAAGTTCTTTTGTGCTGCCATTGTCTGAGTCACCAGCGGCGGTAATGGTTTAGCTGGGAGTTCAAGTTCTGGTTCACTTGTGTTGTGTGGGTAAGGACTCCTGGCAACGTCTGTCCTCTGTCCTCTGGGAATCTTATGGGTGCAATTGAACAAGTTAGGTTAAGGGCCCAAGAAGTAATAACCTGCTCCTCTGTACTTT